TACGTGCTCCCCGCCTTGATGTGTCTTCTGTCTCATCCCTATATCAACCGTGCTTCAAGCCCAACTAGCGATCTGAACTGTTTTTCAGTCCCAGGTCTGTAGTTTATGCCAACTATAATGCTGGCGGTGACAATCGGGAGAGGGCACCCAAGTATTCGTTGTCTAGAAATAATACCTGCTATACCTATTTAAGTAGGTTATGGCCCTACATATTTGTTGCTTCATCCGACCTCAATTTTATCTGATCTGCAGTGCACATGTTGCCTCACTTAGATTACCATAGTCTCCAACAGTTGAGATGCCACCGCTACAGACCGAGGCATGGTTAATCAACCTTGACCTAGGCTTACACATCTGAAGAGTGGCAGCAGTATTGGGGTTGCGGCTAAATCTACTCTTGCATACCTTAGGAGAGTTGAGAAACGATCGCCGTAGCCCCACCCTACGTTAAACAACCTTAATATAAGCTTCCACTGCGGACAAGCGACCGCAGTAGTCCCTATGCGGATTATTCTATAGTAGCTTACCCACCGACAATTACAATACGGTCGCCGTTGACCGAGCACTTGGAGTATCAATTTTTACCATTACTTACAGAGGTCAGGAGCTACCGCAGTCGCCAGTGTGCGGCTCAGTCAGTGGCTGCATAGCTTGGGACAGTTGCGATAAGATCGCTTCTTTGGTCAGCGGTATTTTTCGGGTGCCCTTTCCCGATTGCTACCATGCTGGCTTCTCACCTTGTTTTGTGCTCTCTGTAGGGATTCCGTCGCCCACGACGAACACCTGCCACGCGCAAAATTTCTCGACGTCATGCGGAGCGCTGCCCAGCGCCTGCGCCTACTCTTTCCTGATAACCAGATCCCGATCATCCCAGTGCTGGGCAACCACGACGTGCATCCCGCCAACGTTCTTGAAGTCGGCGAGTCGGCGGCCGCCCAAGAACGACTGGAGTGGTGTGGTCTCCTGGCGACAGACAGAGAGCTCTGGGCCGATTGGATCGCATTCGGTCAGCCCGATCCAGCGCCGAATGCCACACGCAACAGTTCAGAAGTCTTCACTACGGGTGAGTAGGCTGTACGTCTGACAGTTGGCTGGCATTGTTTTCATGCAGTCCTCAGTCAGCTTCATCGGAGTGCTTTTGAAAATTTCAATCCCTCACAATTCTCCGGGAGCTTTTGTTCGCTGTCGTCCTCTCTAGCTCGTTGCCT